TATGGCAGCAGTACCTGTATCCAGCCTCTCTCTTATCTCCCTCAAAGACAAAGAGAAAGAAGGAGTAAAGGGGTGGAGGGGGGTTTGGGTGAGGGGGTGGGTGGGGGGTGTAGCTGAAGAAAAAGAGATACTTTCAAACAGACATTCAGACATTGAAGAATCATTCAATTATCGGCAGCATGATGTAAAATAATTACCTGACTCGCTTCCTGTAATGAGTGCTGCTAATTAGCCATAGACTTTTGTTTTAGTTGAAAAAAGAAGGAGAAAGTCCCAAACTCCCAACAGCAGAAAAGCTGTGAAAGGATATGTTGTATGTTGAGGTAGTACCTCATCCCCACACACACACACATACCCCACACACACACACACACACACACACACACACACACACACACACACACACACACACACACATTGTGTCTCTTTACCATAGGCTCACTTGGCTTGAAGGCACAATTTACCTCTCAATGTATGCACACACAGCTCGCAGTAAATAGTCGAGAGTCAAAAAAAGATCCTTCTTCTCTTAATTAGCTGTGTAACAATTAAAGTCTCCTCTTAGTAAATTGAACCTTTGTCTCCCTTGCCTCCCTAGTTTGATTTCAGCACCTGTCACAACAACCCCTCCCTTTACCACCACCGCCGCCACACACCCACCACTATTACCTCCACCGCCACCCCCCCTCGACTGTAGTCATTATGCAAAACTCTACCAGAATGCGCCCAGCATGAGCGGAAGAAAACAGCAATTATTTCTGATATTCTGTTATTTAGGCCGTATTGACATTCAACTACTTTCTCTTTCTCTCGGTTTGTCTCCTCCTCGCTGCCACCACCTGAGAAACGGAGTGAGACTGAACTCGACTTTGTTTTAGCCTCAATCTTGAATCTTGCATGTCATCACTGTAGTCACTCTGCAAGAGGCATAAAGGCAGCGCTGGCCCATAATGTGACCTACAGATTTGTGTGTGTGTGTGTGTGTGTGTGTTTGCTGCATTGACATGCAGCGCAGAGGGTGACCAGTGATGTAAGCTATGACAGATACACTGTGGTCATTGTCTCTCTGGCCTCTTTCTTCCCGCAGTCTAACCATGCGTGAGCGCTCTACACTGCCATGTTTGTTGTCTAACACACACACACACTCATACACACAGTATTGTGTCCCGGTTTTCTGACTGATTTGATAGGAAGAAGAGTTTAGTCACCAGACACAGCAGGTTTTTGAAAGTGCAAATTAAGAGTCATACTTGGTGGAAATAAAACCATAAATGGATTTGTATAGAACCTTATGAGCAGTAAAAAAAAACATGTCTAAATAGAAGCAATAAAAGTTGAATTCTGAGCCTGTAAAGATTACATTTAAGCTGTCATGAGCAAACAATGGATTACTGTATCTCTTATTGCCCATGCTAGGGCATGTGAAGGACCATGCTGGTGTTTTTTGCATTATTTACATCTATTAGGTTATACTGTTTAGTACCTTATGTAGTGATTCAGATTACTGCAGGTGTATCAAATGTCATTTTTCATATTCCTGGTAGCATTTGGTTTCAATTCATTTTACAATACTGTGGAAATGATTCAGTGTGCAAAGACTCAAAACTATGTCCCGTCTGTGCTCTGTTTTTGCCGCCATAACTGTATTGTTTAAGCAAATTTTTACAAGTGAATTTGTATTATGTAGGGAAATAATGCAACTAATGAAAAAAAAAACATAACTACAAAATTCAACTCTTGACTCAAGGACCACTGACAATCATTTTTAAGAATTTTCAGTGGCATTTCATGGTCTTCTTCATTGAATTGAGGTGCTATTTGTATGTATTTATGTATGTATGTATATATATTTTGTATCTGGGCAACATATTAAAAAAATATATATATATATATATATATATATATATAATATATATATTGATGCTTTCTGCTTTTAAAGGCTGACAATGAATGTTTCCCAAAAGGACAGTATCAGTAAACTGATAAATATCTGTTTAATACCTAATGTCATTGCCAGTTAAGTGGCACACAATACAGTAACAACTGAAGAAGCTGCAGTAGTTACAGTATTAAAGCAGCAAGTATAAGATGAGGCACATTCACTATCATTATCATGTCAATTACTCTAATTTTTATTTATTTTTTGGCTTTGGCTCCTGTCACTGTACTTCACTAAACAGAGGCTGCTTAACAAATGTTTGGCGCTATTAATCCCGCGCTCATCGCTGCGCTTTATTCGCTGCTGCAGGGGTCCGTCCACGCCGCTGTGACCACTATTGTAGCACACTCAGGAGGGGAGAGGTGCTCACAGATGTACATGCATACACACACACACACACACACACACACACACACACACACACACACACACACACACACACACACACACACACACACAGACACAGAGACATCTGCAGGTCACCATCATCATAGTGGGAATAATACCAGGGATGGTTATCATAAAGGGAAGCTTTGAGCTCCCGGCCGTCTTGGGAAGATGATTTGGCTGGCCCGGAACAATGAACTGTGGGAATCCGCTTGTCCTGCATTGATCTTCCTCCCATGGCATCCCCTGCAAGGCTGTCAGAGCGACGGACAGATAAAAAGAGCCACAACATTTTTCTTTCTCTCTCTCTCACTCCCTCCCGGTGTCTTTCTTTTCTCTCTGTCAGGAGGGCTCCCACTGATCAGCGGGGATGAGCTGAAAGTTGAACTACCTGTTGACAGGACCTCTTAAACAGCCCTCAATGACATATTGTGCAAGAGAAAGAGGGAGAGGCGCAGGCTCCTGTTCATTCATATTTCTCACTGATCTATTGAATCCGTGCTCTCATCAAATCCTTGCTCCACTGCTGTTATTTTCTCAACGTTAAAGCGGTGCAGGGGGTTATGTTAATCCAATGTTAGTCATACGTTTTAAATAAATGGATGCTCTGTGTTCATGTAAAAAAAAAAAAAAGCCTCTTTCTGTTTTTCCAGTGTTGTGTTTTAGAAGTTGTCTGCTACATGAGAATGCGACTGGTGTGTGATTGGTATTTTTGGCCAGGCAAATCAGGCTCTGGCTCTTTTCAAGCCACTGGAAAGACCTTCCCAATGATCCAAAATCCCTTTGCGAGAGGGGGGACAAGGCACATATTATATACAAAGTATTGTAAATATATATATATTTTTATTTTCACCCAAAATAAATGTTTACAGGGGCGTCGGAATTGGGGGAAAGGGGGATTGAGTATACAGGGCCCTAATGTGAGGACGGCCCACAAAAATACTATGAATAGACGTGGATGCAGGGAGGAGCCCATATAAAATGCCTATGTGCAGGGTCCAGAATTTTGTACTACGCCCCTTTGTTTGCTCATATTTGTAAGACAAAAATACCCATTTAAAGTGAAAACTAGATGGGGCCTGGTCTTGGCCATGTCTGTAAGTCAACATGTTTTTCCTCATTTAAGATAGAACAATCCACCTCTGAAGCCTCTTTTTGATAGTGCTGTTATGAGTTTTGATCAAGAGGCTCTAGGCATGGGATGGAGTTAGGATTGAATCTGGCAGGGCTTGTGTGACTGTCTTCCATGTGCAGTTCAGAGTGTTTTCGCCTCATTACAGAAAGTAATAATGCAGTGAAGTCAAAGAGCGGGAGAGAGAGAGAGAGAGAGAGAGAGAGAGAGAGAGAGAGAGAGAGAGAGAGGGAAGGAAAACAAGGCAGGTTTTTTATTGGATTAATTAGACGCCTTGCAAAGACCACCTGCAATAGAAACAAAACACAAGCCAGGAAGAAAAACTCATATCTGGGTCTGTTCTACCTACCAAAGCACTAACTCTAACTAAACCAACCTTTACCCAGAGGTAATTGATCTTTGGAATGACGAGGAAGCTCTGTTTGTACTTTGAAAACATACTTGCAGCTTTTGAATAGATCTGAATGTCCCTGGCGCTTGTGTAATCACAAAATATTTAGCATTCAACTCCCAGTACGGGTAACATATGGTAAATACCCACATTGTCCCTTCAACATCAGATTGCTAGCTGCACCCCCACTCGTCTCATTAATGATTTGGTGCAAATATGATGGAATTCAGCACATTGTGAATAATGATTGATTTGTTTAATGCAATGAATTTGTTCATTAGGACTTAATGAGGTATTGCTTTGTGATTAGTCGATGGGTTTTGTGTCGATACATGTCAAAATAACAAAGTAAAGTTCAACTAATGGCTTTTCGATCCTTTAGTTTCTCTCCATCTTGTCTTAAATGTCAGAGGAAAGTTTTATGACAAAACACAGGCCTGACAGTAAATTCAAGAAGTGGGCTCAGAAGTTTGCTTGAAATTGTTTATTTTAATACGAATGTATAATAGGTAGCCATTCCTAATATTGACACCGCGTTTCGTATACTTCAATAATTTATATGATTACAATTAGAGAGAAACACATATAAATCCCTTTTGCATTTATGATGCATAGTGCTATTGATAAGACAGAAATGAACTGAGCACATTCAGACGCTGACTGAAATACACTTCCATTGTGCTACAGATACCACTTATAATTAAGCTGAGGCTTGAAGAGAAAAAAGAGCAGAGAAGAAAAAATGCATTTCGAGAAACTGAGTGAAATCAGTTTCTGTGTGTGTGTGCATGAATGTGAGGATTTGGTGTGTTTACGGGTGCACGTGGTGCTTTGCTGAATATTAAACCACACACTATAAAGACAACAACTGAACCGTCGTGAGAAAATGCTAAAGGAAGTCTTTGTGGTTTTAGAGGTATCAGAAGAGCCAATAGTTTTAATGAGGCAGCAATGCTGCACATGCCAGGAAATGATAAGGTTATACAGGTTAGAATAACGGCAGATAGATACTGTACCAGTATCTAAAGCTACAGAGTGTTGTTCATATCGGAGGCTACACAGGCTGCACAGCCATGGCAGAGACAGTGACACATAAAAGGGACAAAGTGACACCAAGACTTTCCTTAATACAACTGGTAAGAATGACTAACCTGAGCCTTGATCTTCTAAAAGCATAGTACTTTTTTCTTCTTTCTTCTTCTTCTGTACATTTGATGGATATTTTGCAAAAGATTTGTAACAGTAACAGTTAGAATGATGTGATTTCTGTGGGCAGCCATTTGATAGTGCTGTGAGTTGCAACATACTCACCGTGTCTGTTAGAGGGCACGCGCATACTGAATTGTTGTCTCTAGTGAAAGGGTTGTGTTCGAGTGCATGTCTTTTCCTGTGTGTGTATGTGTTCCTACTTGTAAGCCACCCTCACATTCCCTTGCATGTGTGTTGATATGAGCAGAGGGGGGATGTCACATAAGAAATGTCCTTTTTAATCAGGGGAAAAAATATAAAATGACTCGGGAGCAAGGCAAGCATATTAATGTGCCTCATTTGCATACGCTCGTCAGCCAGGATACGTTTATAAAAAACACAAACTGGATTCGTCAGTTCATTTCACATTATTCCATTGTCTATCTGCCTTTGTTATATGTTAAAGATAAAGGCAGAAATCAAATTGAAGAAAAGGGCAAGCTGCTATCTCCCCAAATGAGCAACAGCTCATCAGCCTAGTTTAAATCACAGATTTCTATTCCAAAAGGCAGCCGCCTCTGTAAAAAGGGCCCATTCAAATAAGGTCTTCTCCGATATAAGCACGCCTGGTGATGGAAGCTGGGGTGTCACATAAATACAATTTAAAACCTAAGCCATTTAAAGCAGTCCAACAAAGTTTTATCTTTCCTAGCAATTCTCTCACAATATAATTCTCACAATAAATGTACACATATACAGTATGTATATATATTTTTCAAGTATAAACTTTTGTTATGTGGCTGTTACTGTGAGTTGCTTTATTTCTCAGATGAGTGTGGCATTATTCAAGTCACATGACAACATGATCATAAGATCTGTCGTAAATTTAAGTAGGCTTTGACGGAAGCATTTCTAGCTGTTACACATAAGCCTGCGGAACATAGCATGCTCATTATATTCTTAATGAATTCAATTGAATTGCTTAAGATACTTGTGGGGAGAAATAAGGAGAATTCAAAGGGCAGCCCACAAGTGTCACATTCCTTTAAACACAAGTGGAGACCGGTCACAGTGTCTAATTCATGTCCACAAGATAAGAATCCACCATCGACAGTGTGTTGGAGGGGCCAGTGGCTAAAAGAACAGGCACCCCTTATGTCTACCGACCTCCTACTGATGGGAGAGAGAGGGAAAAAGAGTGGAAAAATTCAAATGAATTAGAAAACAAATGAGCCACAATCGAGAGTCCCCCCAGCTTTAGAAACATACTGTAGGTGGAGAGAGGAAGAGAACGACAGAAGCAGAGCCTTAGTTGCCCTTCATGCCTGTAAAATGTATATTGAACATGTGTGCACATATTTAATGTGGGTGTGCCCCGTTGCTGCCAGATTGGGTCCATAAGCTGTCTAAAATGATTCCACTTTCTCTTAAAAGTGAACTCACCTAATGCCAGTGCTTTACACTGCCTCTCCATTAAAGGATTTTTTGATGATTAAAATCATGCGTTATAACACAGTGGCTGCCACTGTTACCGGGCAGCATACTAATCAGCTTAATGAGATATTATACAATATTTTGTTGACCAAAGCAGAACCGTGGTTATTGTTTCTGAAGGTTTGACCCCTGCCAGCAGCCAGAGGAAGTGTGCAGATAGATGTTTATACCTCTCCATCTGGAGAGCAGATGGATCTGCATTAAAACCAGTGTTATTCTTTTTTGTTATTTATTCACTGATGTTATACATATGAATACTTTCACTGACAGTACAACATTCTCAGAACATTGTGATATATTTCGGTAGCATTACAGCAGCCCAGGACTACAGCATTAGTCTGTGTCATACAGTTGGTAGAACAAATACCACAAAGTAACTGCTACCTGCTTATTCCTCTCAGACTTGAGGGTGTGTTTATCTGTTATCTACTTTTTTCATCAACCAATGCATCTTTGGCTGCATAGGGAACCCTTTCAACGCGACCAACTGTTCTTTTCTCCGTCCTAGAAACTGTCAAAGAGTTATGTAGAGAGAAGAAGACAGACAGAGAGAGAATTGGGGGAATAGAAAGAAGCAGAGGGAGAGCAAAGTGATTCACATCAAATGTAGTGCAGCTCTTTAATGGAATTTTGCGCCAAGACAAGTGTCGTGGCAACAAGATAAGAGTGTTGTGTTTACTGGAATAACCCCTTGGTTTTAAGTGCTATTGTTAATATCATAATTGTAGTATTGCGGTGGCTTCCCGACAATGCCGTTGCTCCGTTTCATTAAGGCGTGTAATTGGTGGAATTCTGATAGGATGGGCACAAGTAGCTTAATTATACACTGCTCACTGTGTTTACAGAGTAATTATTCCATCCAAAATGGTGTTACATTTTGAAAAAGTTCTAAGGAGTCACAGCATTTCTCCAGGCCCTTGGTGCTGACAATTCATGCAGTTCTCTGTGCATCAAAGACGTACGTTTTATTTCCCAGTACTGGGTGACACAACACAGGTGTTCCAGTAACACACTAGGCTAGAGCATGATGTGGTTTGATAATATTTGTAATCTGGAAAGCAAACACCAAGAGAACATCAACACCCACTATGGCATAGTATCTTTAAAATGCAATTTTTGTTTTCTAAAACCTTGTTAGGATTTATAATTCAATAGAAAAATATTAAATTATTTCTAATACGTATCCTTATTTCTGTCTGCTTTTACAGGATGGAGGACTCTAGTTTGTGTCTTGGTGTGTCGTCAGCGGTGCCCGACACTGATGCCCATCTGAGCAGTGCAGTGTTAAATGGCCGCTACCCCATCAGTCAAAAGCTTCATCAGCTTACTGCCCAGCTAGGACACGCCTTTCCTGACCTACACCGCCCACAACAGATCCCTGAAGAGAAAGCAGCCACGCCTTTGGACGAGAAGACCCACCACGCAGCCCTGGCCAGTCAACCTATTAGCAGTCAGATGGCCCTGCTAGCCAATCAGCTCAACCGAGATATTGATGCAGGGGCACTAAGTGGGTTGAACGGGCGTGTTGACCTGCAGCAGTTTCTCAATGGCCAGAACTTGGGCATCATGTCCCAGATGAATGATATAGAAGATGACGCCCGCAAGAATAGGAAGTATCCCTGTCCATTGTGTGGCAAGCGTTTCCGCTTTAACAGCATCCTGTCACTGCACATGCGCACACACACAGGAGAGAAGCCCTTCAAGTGCCCCTACTGTGACCACCGAGCGGCTCAAAAAGGCAACTTGAAGATCCACCTCCGGACCCACAAGTTGGGGAATCTTGGTAAGGGCCGCGGCCGTGTCAGAGAGGAGAATAGGCTGCTGCATGAGCTGGAGGAGAGGGCCATCCTGAGAGACAAGCAGATGAGAGGGAGCAGCAGTCTCCAGACAGCTCAAACACCCCATCTGGGCATCAGCAGCAGCAGCTCTAACACTCATCAGCAACAACTAGGCTCAGCCTGTGGCCTCCTTCCCCCCTCTGGCCTTGCCACTCCAGAGACTATTTCCCAGCCTTCTTCATCACCCAAGCCGGCTGGCACCCAGGATGAACAGTCCCTGAACCCAGCCACAGGGTTCCGCTGCACCTTCTGCAAAGGGAAGTTCAAGAAGCGTGAGGAGCTTGACCGCCACATCCGCATACTCCACAAGCCCTACAAATGTACTCTGTGTGAGTTTGCTGCATCCCATGAAGAAGAGCTGATAAGTCATGTGGAGAAGGCCCACATCACAGCTGAGACCACACAGGGCCAAGGTGCTGGTGGTGCCGGTGGCACGCAGATGGCCACTGAATTCCGCTGTGACGTGTGTGGCCAGGTATTCAGCCAAGCTTGGTTCCTCAAGGGTCACATGCGCAAGCACAAGGACTCCTTTGAACACTGCTGCCAAATCTGTGGCCGTCGCTTCAAGGAACCCTGGTTTCTCAAGAATCATATGAAGGTGCATCTCAACAAGCTGGCTATCAAGAGCAAGCCGCCCCAGCCTAGTGAGCAGGACATGGCTGCCGTCAACAGCATGAGCAATCTGGCTCAGGAAGCTCATGCCAACCTTTATTCCCGCTACATCTCCTGTCTACAGGGAGGCTTCCTTTCACCAGACAAACAAGGCCTGAGTGAGCAGCACCAAATGTTGGCTAAAGCAGGGATAGCAATGAAGGAAAAGGAGATGCTAGGGAAGCTGCTGGGACCCATGGCAGGAGGCATGGGCCATGGGCTGGGCGAAAATGAGAAGCGCTCACTCCTGGGTTGTCTCAACCTCGTGCCACCACTCAAATCGAGCTGCATGGAGCGCCTCCAGGCAGCTGCAAAAGTGGCTGAGATGGACTCCCTCAATAGCTACCAAGCCTGGCAGATAATGGCTCGTGGCATGGCTATGGACAGGGCTTTCATGCCGAAAGAGCAGCAACAGCACCAGCACCAGCACCATATACCTCCAGGGCAGGAAGATGAGATGGGTGGTGCTGGAGCCTTGGCTTCCTTCTCAAAGGATAAACAAGACTACTCCTTGATTGCTTCCAATGATAGCTCCAAGCAGAAGCAGCTCTCTGAAGCTTTGCAGGGATCCAAGGCTGCTGGCGGAGCCATGATGTCCATGAAGGAGGATGGAAGAGGCTTTGACAGTCACCGTGACTTAATGTCTCACCACGGTAATGCTGAGGCTCCTGGAGCCCTGGCAGGCTTGGGAAGCCCTAACATCGACTACAGCCTCTCCAGCCTCTCCAGCCTGAAGGAGAAGCCTTCAGAGTGCCCTGACTGTGGCCGTGTCTTCAGAACCTACCATCAGATGGTTGTCCACTCCCGCATCCATGGGAAAGACAGGAGAGGCATTGAGGAAGCGTTCCAGCAACAGGGTTTGGACGAGCGCCGTGGATCAGCAAGTGACCCCGAGTCCCAGTCCATCAGCCGCTCCACCACTCCTGGTTCATCCAACGTGACAGAAGAGAGCGGAGCAGGAGGAGGACACTCCCAGACGGGAAGCGTCCAGGATGACAGCCCTCATCCCTCCTCACCATCTTCAGGTAAGAAAAAAAAATTGACAATGAATGACAACCACTTGTATTATTTAGTCAGTTTATGGATAAAGGGATCAAAATGTATCGTGTTGACTTCCTTATACTTGGGAATTACATTTCCTTCTTTAATTCAGTGCTTTTCTCTTACTGTACTACAATTTTTACCTATATAGTTTCCACTAAGAATTACTTTAAGTATATGTTTGTGTATATATCAGTCTTTAAAATCTATCTCTTTAAAAGGGAATGAAAAATAACCCAAATACCCACTGATGAACCAGGGCCACACATTCCTCACATAACTCAAATGTCTTTGTTCAAATACTCACACACCCTCACAGAGTGGTTTGCTTTTATAGGATACTTTACACACACAAACACCCACACAGATACAGAGTATAATAAATACATACACATACGGAAGTATGTACACATTGCACCGTGTATGTCATTTAAACTCAGGTAAGGACAGGTATAAGCTGTCTTATTTGCAAGTTCCTTTTCTGGACATGGTAACAGTTGTCCCCTGACACTGCTGTGTTTTTGCTAGCACTCACATTAAGCCAAACAGAAGACTCCAGAGAACACAGTCCAGGAAGAGACCTTCACCATTGCATTCACATTTGCAGGTTAGCACTCTAGATCCCTGTGGAACATGAGTAAAGACTGGGAGCGTAGGGACGAACTCGTTTTAACCACAGCGATTAATAAATGTCTTTAATAAACACGTTAGAGACAACCATACCCCTCCCTTCCCCCTACCCAGCAAACACAGGCCGGCCGGGGCTAGATAAGTGTATGTTTAGTGGGATTAAGGGAGGCTCGTTGCTAATGATTACACAAGTTTTTAAAGGTAACTTTCGCTTGCTCCTCAGGGCACTATGCTGGCGTTAAGAAGCGCGTGCCGTAATTAGGTCACGACTATGCGATAATCAGTCGGTTTAAGCTAAACAAGGCACTAATTAAAGATATACATATAAAGCAGGTCAAAAAAATTGTGAACTTCATTTGCAAAAGCGAGGATGTGCTTTTAAGTCTTTTGAGAAAATATATAAATAAATAGAAATATAAATCAGAGTGGCTTAGCTTAAGGCTGTAAGCAACTTAATTCCACCAGTGGAGACGAAATTGTTTATTTATTCACAGAGGCATGAAGTCCTTATCATGCCCGTGTAGTGTGATGGGTTTGAACATGGGACAGGCTATGTTTATTTTAATCTAAGAAATAATAACAGACAACCCCCCACCCCAATTAGGAATTAATGAAAATGAGAGTGAGATAAAAACCTATTTTCTTTATAGAGACTATTAAACATAACACTTTCTCAACAGGGTGGGGGTGTAGCCGATGTAATTATCTTCTGAATTTTAATGCTGGAAGTTTCTCTCTCCATCTCTCTCTTTCTCTCTCTCTCTCTCTCTCTCTCTGTCTGTCTCTGCATCTCTCTCTCTGTCTGTCTCTTTTGACTCAAGCACTTTGAATCTGATGGGTTCAGCTTGTGGCGTTTCAACAATTTCAGAAGTACTGTATTAACATCCAGTGTTTGGTATACAAAAAAAAGGACAAGAAAAGCAAATTAAAATAATAACTGACAAATAAAACCAATAGTATTTACCACCAAATGCTAACAAAGCAAAGAGAAATGCATTAGATTTAGTTGAGTGGTTAAATCTAACCCCTAGGCACAATCTGTGGAGAAGGAGGGTATGATTAAAGACACAAATGTAAATACAAAAATAAATTAAAATAGTGTATCGGCAACTTTTCACAAGAAAAAAAAAAGGCTGCTGGTTCTCACAAGGCCTTGATGTTGCCCTTCCTGCTGCCTTTGTCTAACTGTTTGTGTGTTTGTGTGGTTTGTGTTCAGGTAGTGTGTTTCACCCTTAGCCGAGTGCTCAGTCAGAGGCTGCACTGCTTGATACATTGGCACTATTCAAGCTCTTTGTCAATCTGCCACTGTCATATCTGAAAGGCTGTCCTCACATTGTTATTGTAGAGCTTTGTGAGTGTATGTGCCAAAATCGGATGTCAAACGGGAGACTAACTGCTGGAGAGCATGGCAAAGGTGGAAATAGATTTGTAGGGAAGAATAGACTAAAATGATTAGGCGTCTGAACAGACTGAGGTGCGGTTTTACTGAAAAAAAAGAAATAATAATGTGAGAAGTAAACAGATTTGACAATTAAATATGCTGGTTTTGCTACTTCCTGTTTTTTAATCAGAAGTAGCGAAACCTGTCTTTCTTCACGGCTTACACAATGTGATTCACATTTGGAGCTCAGGGACTCTCAAATTAGAAACTTTGATGTGTGAGAAAAAAATGTGTCTGAGTCTCATGTGGAGAAAGGTGTCATGCTTCTCCTCTGCATGCATGTTTATTGTGTGCGTGTCTGGGTGTGTGTGTGTGTGGTCTGTGTGTATGTAGGGTGGTATATGCTTTACAGTATGTGTGCATATCACTCTCCTCTATAGTGAACAGGATGTGGCCACTGTACCATTGTCTTTATCTTAATATCTCAGGTTTTAAAAAGACAGGGCTTGTAATTCTCTCCAAGTGTGCGTGCACTCTCAGGCGTATGTGTGAGCCTCTGCCCCGCCACCTACCCACAGCAATTTTGAGTTAAACTTGAATTATAGTAATCAAAAATAACATCTCAACTGTGAAAGAAGGTCAACTTTTGCGCTTTTGTCTTTGAGACGGCACTTGTTTAAAAGCAATGAGTGAAAAAAGGGAGAAGTGAGGGGAAAAGAAGAGCAGAAAAACAAAGCCCTCTGTCAGAGATGTCCTTTGAAGACCTTCCTTATTACAATATAGCTCAGCAGCTAACCTTGAGCATACAGTTCTTTATTTCTTTACAACAAAGAGGTAATTACATTTATGCCCATCACCATCTTTTTTTTTTTTGTTTGGTTATCCTTGGGCTGACTTCACTTCAGTATTATTGTTTCCTGTGATGATCAGGCCTCAAAGAAGCTGTGTTGAGAGAAAACACACTGTGCAGCAGTGTACTCGTCACATTATGAAGGTTCAGCAACAGGTGGACTTGAATGCAACTTATCACATCCAATAGGCTCTGGTGCCTTGGAAAGCATTGGCTTTTTTTTTGCCAGCACTTACATGCAAATAACCCACCATTGAAAATTCTCATTTTGCACGATAGCGTCTCCCCATTCTGCTGCCACAGTACAGGCAAAATGCAGCTGAATGTGTAAAAAATAGGCTTTGCTGCACGCATGTAAGGCCTAAAGCAGCACAAGTCCTCCTTATGTGTACCTCCCCAACCTTCCCAATACGCCTAAACCCCACTCCCACCTCTTGGCTCCTGGCTGTAAAAGACTCTATACACTCCCCCTGGCTCTCTCTTTCTCTTTCTTTCTCTCCAGAGAATCCCCCATGTCTACATTTTTTTAAGAGGAACAGCGTTTTAACATGGCAAGGATTAGCCTGCATATCCCTGGTCTTTACCGCGGCTCAAACAAGCAGGCAAAATGCTCGCTCCATACAAATTGAAATTGGATTTGCCAACTTGACGCCTTAGGTTATAAAGCGTGGATATTCATCTAATTGCAACGGTACAATGGGGGCGTAATTACACATGCGGACAAACTGTTACAGTGTAATTACTGTGTCATTAACAGGAATAAAGTAGAGTTGAACAAAATCTACTATGAATATACATGGTGACAAACCTGATATTGCTAGCTATTCTCAGATCATTTTAGTGAATGAGTCATCAATACTGGCAATATTAATGAGAAGTTACCATTTATGGAATTTTATTGCTATTCTTTTATTATCTATGACTAAAAAATACTGAAGATATCTGTAGATCAACCAAAGCCAGAATACTAAGACAATGAATATACCTACATCCTAAATGAACACATTCTTGGCCAAAAAGAGTGTACCATTCAGGCCAGTTTATTCATATTCTGGATCGTTTTGAGACAATAAAATGCAATTATTAATGAACCAGGGGAGTACATACACACTATACTTTCAACTGAGGCAGAACTTAAATATCATAAACATACTGAGACCCTGGCCGGATTAAACTGATAGGTTGTGCCTTTATCAAGTACAGTGCACAAAGCGGACTATACATGCCCCAGAGAGTGACCTGTACTTCTGGTGGAGAAATACAATAAGGCAGCAGATTTTTGAGTGTCAGTTAGCTGGATGTAATAGAGGTAACTTTGTTAAGGAAAATGTACTTTGTGTCAGCAAAATAACTACAATACTAAAGGTGGTAAAACAAGATTTTGACACAGAAGCCTTCCACAAGACAGAGCCACAACCTCATAATGCAGGGCTCGTTTTAGATATTGTACTTAAGTGAAGCAAATTACTACAATCAACTTGCATGCAGTTATTCTTGGGCTTACAGGGCCACTGAGATTGCATACACATAGCAATCTTGATTCAACTTCTTTTAGTCTGGTAAAATGTCCTGAAGCCAAGCCTGCTCTGAATGCAGTCAGTCTCAGCTGCTGCTGAAGATCTATAATATTTGACAGTCCAGTCAAAATTACTTTTGAGCCTTTTCACTTTGCGGATAGTCTCCCCTTATCCCTTTAGGTTGGAAGGAGGGCTTGGCAATTCACACAGTGTGATCAACTCATTAAACTTATCTGGGTTGTTTTCAGTGCATTAGCTACAAACTGAGAAAATAAAGAAAATCAAGAATAAAGGAACAGACTATATCCTTATCTAGATTGGATGATTCGCCTAGCTGATGTTCTAAGTTCATGGTCATAAATGAATTACAAGTGTGTACAATGAAAAACTCACTTTGTTTCTCTGTAGTTATTTACAGTGGCAGCTGCCCTGGCCCTGGGGGCCCCGGGTTCACTGCATGGTGATTACTTTCTTCAGTTGCATTTTGGGACATTAGCTGTATAAGCTGAAACGGTAAGGTCCTCAGGGTGGCTGCTGCCTTTTAGAGGGTACCTGTGACAAAATCTACTTTTACCTTTAATATTTCAATCAATTACATCCATCTAC